GAACTTTCTAATTTTTTTTATCTTACCCCCTAGGAATTCATATTCGTGGCTCGGAATTCAATCTTGTGACAGAAAATCGTTACTTTAATAATACATCATTATGATAAGATGATCTTCAAAAATCAACCAATCATAATAAAGCCCGCTATGCTACGTGCCCCTGAGACTTGTTATAAATTTTAATACCTGTCAGAATAAAACGAATCTGATTGGTCAGTTAAGGAATCGTAATTCGTGTTACCTGATGATCATTTTTAACGCGCTATACATAACATAACTAATCGTGACTAATAATGATAGATCAGTTTTCGAAACTAATAAATTTCGGTTTTCGATCTCATAACAGTCAGTTCAGGTTCAAATTATGGTCCCGATAAATTTCATTTTCAATACAGTATTTTTCAAAACCGTTAAGACATACAGAATATTAATATAAGTGATCCTTTAATTAATAAAGGTTATGTTCTATCCGTTTCTTTTAATAGTAGTGATTTGACCCGGTGAGCGTCACCCGAGTAACCCGCGGGTGGGTGACCCGAGTTAAGTTATGGCAACCCAGGTGAAAGCGGATTGACCCATGGATGACCTGTGATTGTTTTGCAATATATTAGCTTCCGAAAAATAGATAAGCCGGAATTGTTATCATATCCATATTTTGTTCGAGGCTATTATCATATCATAATATATTATTATACACGTCTTTTAGATTTAGAGATCAACATAGCTTAGCACAGATTTCAAAAATCCCATCGTAAAAATATTACACAAGAAACAAGCTTTTTGTTTTAACAAAAAAAAATTAAAAAAAAAGTAAAATACTAAAATTGTTATTTCCGATTGATGAATTATCATAAATGAGAGGAGTAAATCATACTTCGAGCCTTCAATTTTATTTGGAGATTTTCACGAGCTGAATTTGATAAATAATAATGATAAGCTTGAAAGTCCGAAGTTTCATTTTCTTATGGTAGTGCTCAAATAATTTCTATACATTTTGGGTTTATACTTTAACCTATCTTTTTATCTCAGTATGTTATCTTTTTTTTATTCATTTTATTTTTTTAGATATCCAATCTTACGGATAGATTAGTCGCGACAACCAAAATTCAGAAGATCGGCCAAAGTTTAGGCTGGAATGCATCAGAGTTAGGCTGGCATTAATCAATAATAATAACTATGGCAAAATTAGTGTCTGGGCAATTTTATTTAGCGCGTGGATTACTGGATTATTAGCAAAATTTATCAATTCTGATCCATTCCGTCCCGGAATTTGGCGCGACCAATCTATTCCGATTTATGACGTATCGAGCCACCCTGCACGGATATTTGGACGTGCTAACTACTAGTGATTTTTAATAAAAAAATTTTTTTAATCGATTTTAAAAACTTGTAGAATTCATTGATTAAGTTTTGTTGAATTATATTGGTTTAAAAATTCAAAAAAATTTATGGTGTGTTTCTACTGATTCACCCATATGATACCTAAGATAATCATTTCAATATGGATGCCGCCAGGAAAACCTACATATTTTCAAGTGAACTTCAAAATACAATTTGGCAGTACTTTATATAACCTGATTCAGATTCGACAGGTAATGATCTTAATAACAGGTGAGTAATCAATCTTAAGTTTTAATTGATTAGTCAACTAATCGATTAAGTTGAAATCGATTAGTTATCAATTCGACCAACTCAATAATATTTTATATTAAGACGTACGTACGTCTTTAGTCAGTCAATAGCTGATAGAAGAGCATAGAGCGATTGTAACTCAATACTTATCAGTTATGTGCTCGATTTCTTTTTTTTGTATGACTTATTTAAAATTTTAAATATCTTTAAAATTCCAGGCAAATTTACTCTAGAAACGAATTAACGAGTAATATCTTAAACTAGACCTAATTATAAAAAATAAAATGAAATTTCAAGAGTTCTTTCTAAAAAAAAGAGCTTATTAATTAAAATATAATCTTTTTATTCCTGTATTTAGATTATGTATTTAATTGCTCGTAATAATTCATTTTTTTCACTCTAAATCCATCTCATTTTCATTTCTAGCCATACTTATCGCAATTTTGTATGATCCTAACAACGACATCAGTTGAAACTTTTCAGAACCACCAGTACCAAGCCTATATCTATTTGAAAGAAGGATAATCATATAAGTCTCAACATAATTTGAAAATTAAATAAATATAATGTAGGAAATATTTTCGTACTCGATTTGTGAAAGTTTGTCAAGAAGGTAAACTCGCGAATTAGCAGAAAAGTCGTGTTTGTTCAAAAAATATTTAAACAATTCTGTTAAAATATCCTGTAAAGCAAAACCTCTTTCGATTCTCATCTTATTAATATCTATTGTAAAAAAAAAAAAAGATTATTGTATATTATACATAGATAATATAATTAACGTAAAATGGCGGAATTAGCCACTAACTGGAATATGCTAATGAGAATTCATCTTTTGACATTGTATTAACAATGTATTCAACATCTTTGGGTTCAGGATTTCCGGTGCATTCATATACCACCGATTCATTGATAAAATCATAGGCGGAGTGACATGCCTAACAAGTTAAATAAATAAAATCTAGTTACATCAATTACGAACAAGGATATTTATTCTAAAACTACGAAAAGAGATACCTGTAGAATATTTAAAGCCTTTCGCATATCACCACCTGATAGTTTCAGCAATGCAGAAATCCCATCATTTGTTATATTGACCCTTAATAAATAAAATAAGTTTTAAATGCGCAAAAACGCGTAATATGAATTAAAATAACTGAATGTTTGTAACAAATACAATACTTTTCATTTTGAATAATATAATCCAAACGATATTTCACTTGATCTTGCTCAATCGGAGAAAATCTGAATCGAGTACATCGAGATTGCAAAGCAGGAATAATTTTGGAGACATAATTACAAATTATGCAAAAACGAACGTTTTTTGTGTATTTTTCTACAACTAAAATAATAAATTTATTGTTATTACTGTCTTCTTGGTATCAAAGTTAAGAAAAAAAAAAACCAGCAACCTCTTCTCAACGCGTTTTGAGCTTGCTGGGTCATCGCATCAGCTTCATCCAGAATAATTAATTTGAAACCGGCGCTATAATGTTAGACATTGGTTCATCAAAAAAGCTCACAACAAACCATCAAATAATAATTCGATTCATCATTCGTACTTAAACATTTTACGTGTTCCAGCATAATTTTTAATTTGTTCACGGACAACTTCTATGCCTCGCTCGTCAGAAGCGTTTAGCTTTAATATATGCAAAAGTGTTATTTAATAGATAGGCATAAATTTAAGACAGAGTACAACAATTTACCTCCAGAACCATAGATCTCCAATCATCGCCATATAACTTTCTCGCACATGCTAATATGGTTGAAGTTTTTCCAGTTCCAGGTGGACCATAAAACAATAAATGCGGAACACGACCTTCGTTAATAAACCTTTCGACTAATGATAAATGAGCACGAATATTTCATGAGCCTCATTTTCAGTCAAAACAACTCGATAAATAATGAAAATTTAAGGTCATATTAACTTGTAGACGTAATTTCTTTATGCGATACAAGTTCGACTAGAGTCTGGGGGCGGTATTTCTCTACCCTATCATTTCCAAACGCGTCGAAAATTATTAAAAGCATATTAAGTCACCCTAAGCGAAATCTTTTTTAACACACCATGGTAAGTTATCCTCTACCAAGGATGATGATATTTTGTCTAACATAAATTTGGTGGTTGTATAAGGTAAACTGCGATTTTTTGTGAAGTGATCGAGACTTTGTGAGTCAAACTATTATATTATCTAAGATTGAATTATTATTATTATTTATTATATATATAGAATCACGAGTGCCTGTCATAAAAACCAACGATTATACTGCAACATTACACAAAATTCTCTAAATGAAGTAACTCTTTGGATAGGGTTTAGGGCACAGGGGGGCCCTAGCACGGCATCCGGTGCACATGGTATCAAAACCTTGAAAATTTCCGATCACGCCCGTTACACATAATGCTCGTCACACATGGGGTGTTGTCAATAGAAACAGCCCATTTTTACATAAATTATATTTTGAGATAATTGAGTTTATTCATTTGTTTT